GTCAAGTTCATCTTGACAATGTCAATATTTCCCTATATATACAGCAAGGAGCACTGATGATGATTCATTCGGAATCAAAATATGGCCTTATTTGCAGCATGAATTCGGAAAATAAGTTTATTTTGAATTTTAATAAACTAAACGTTCATCAAAAAACTTTAGTGAAAAAAATCGAAAAAACGAACTACAAACATATTAACGCCAAACATTCGGTAGAATTTATAGAATATTGTAAATATATATATATGTAAATAATATATAAAAATTATAATATAAAATTATTATTTGCGGTCGTCCGATTAAATGTCACATGTCGATACTAACTAGTTGCCAAAACTTTTTCATTCGAGAATTTATTACAATTCAAAAAAAATTGAGACCACATTTTGTTTAATTTTTTACAGTGTGGCTTGTTATCCAGTAACCAGTTGCATATATTCAGAGTTTTGTAATTTTTCTATAAGTTAATTGTTTTAAATAGGTTTTCTTAGTTGTATTCTTCTCCAGTGACTTCTTTTTCGGCTGGTGTTCTCGTGTTGCGTCTGTTGCAAGATTCTTTCGATGCAAGAAACGACAAGTAAAAAAGTTTATAATGTACTTTATTTACGTAATACTGATATAAGCAAAAAACTGGTTCGACTATACGATTTGACAAAGAGAAGTTCGATTGTAAAACTTAGCGAGAAGGTAAAAAGGTTCAATATACCTTTGTTTTCAAGGTATATATAGCAAGTCGCCTCGTCACATGTTTAAAATAGGAAGGTGCGGTTCAACAATACTCGATGTATTGTTCCTTTGCATCTCGTACTGTGTTGCGTTCTAATTATGTAATAAAGTTCGGTGTGAAGTTGTGGAAATGACTGTTATTTGATTCGAGGTAGGAGTATGTCCGAGGTGTTTAAAAAAAGGGTTGTTGAACTGTTGCTGGCTAATTATTTCGAGTAGTTTATGGTTCATTGACAATTACTTCATGTATAAATTTTAATTTTTTTTCTGTTTTCATGTGTTTATTTTACTATCCTTTGGAATTGTCTTATATTTGTGATTTTTTTAATCATACATGTCCTAATGGGTCTCTGTTTTGGAAAAAATAAATAAATATCATCATACAAATACAAATTACAAATTTTTTATCACCATCGTTGTATGTTCATTTTATCATCGTTAAATCCTCATTTTTCTTCTTTTTCGTGCCTTGTCCTTTCAAGACACTGGCGACCATCGACCTCCGCAAAACCCGATCTTCACATTATCATCGTCATATCACTACAATATTGCTATATCATCGCCTTGTTATTACTACATTGAGTGAATGAATGAATGAACAAAAGAACGAACGAACGATCAACGAACGAACGAACGAACGAACGAATGAATGAATGAGTGGGTAAATGAATGGGTGAATGAATAAATGTAAAAACTTTAAATAATGAATCAATCAATCAATGAGTGATTCAATCAATCAATCAATGAGTGATTCAATCAATCAATCAATGAGTGATTTAATCAATCAATCAATCAATGAGTGATTTAATCAATCAATCAATCAATCAATCAATCAATCAACAAACAAACGAATGGAATGAACAAACAACATATAAATGAATGATTGACCTTAACCTCTGTTGACCTACAGGATGATGGCAATGGAGTCCTGACTGCACGCCTCATCATCTCATTGGTCAAGCAGGAGTCATTTCGATCTTACGTCATCATGGCGGAGAATTCAATTGGGTCAACAGACAAAGAAATCAAATTAGGTCAATTGGAACTAATATTTCATTTGGCACGCCGTAATTTAAAGTCTTTAGTTGAATCTTTCAGAATTTAGAGAAAAATGATTTTTTTATGTCAAAAATGTTTTTTCAAGTAAAAACAAAAAGAAACAATAAAAAAATATTTAAAAAATATTATCAATTCTCAATGTTTTAACTTCAATGAATCAATTTCAGTTGCCGTGCAAAATGTTAATTCATGCAGTTTGTAGGTGCATCGACTTTGTTGAAAATTTTCATGACGTATTAATAAAAAACAACTCAATGAGTCACTAGTTTAATTTTTTAGCTGCAGCGCGAACATTCGTCCCAAAACATTTACAACATTATGATCAATTTGAGACACGGTAGTGTAAAATTTTGACGAATCAATGAAATATTCTTTAAAAAAATTATTTTCCTTGCAGAAAAAATCATCCATCCTTCGGCAAAATCTCACGTTGGTGGACACGACAGCAGCTCCAACGCCCACTACACGCCACACACCAAAGCCCGACACAACCACAACCACCACCACAACGCGACACTCAACCGATACATCAACTACAACAACCACAACAGCGACCATGCAGTCGATTCAAGCCGCATCTCACTGAAGATGCGGTCCTCATCATCGTCGTTAGCGAGTCACGGATATTATCCTGAAATTTTGTACACTTTATTAGCACATTTCATCTGCCTGCTCCTTCTCCCCTCTACAACAAGACTGCTCGTTAAATTTATCTTCATCTAATTTTCCTTTTAACTGCATGTTTTAATGTGTCAGTAGCAGCCATATTTTTATACGGTCCATTACTCTTTCGTTATGTTGTTGTTGATGTTGTTGATGTTGTTGTTGTTGATGTTGCTGTCGTTGTTGTTGTTGATTTGTTGTTGTTGATGTTGTTGTATTGTTGATGTTGTTGTGTTGTTGATTGTGTTGATGTTGATGTTGTTGTTGTTGATGTTGTTGTATTGTTGATGATGTTGATATTGATGATGTTGTCGTTGTTGTTGATGATGTTACGTTTTATTTGCATTGATGAAGTGTTGTTACCAAGCCTGCTCGTATCCTTGATGAGTCTCTCACATGAAAAGCAACAAAAGCATCCAAGCAAACACACCAGCCAAAAAACAAACTTAAAACACATCCGAAAACAACATGAAAATTTGAAGTGCGTAAAGTTAAGCATGTACACATACACGCAATTACAGATTCACGTGATGAGAATACTACCCCGTCACTTGAACATTGTTTACCAGCTGAACTCAACTCATCTGTCCGCACCAATTATGACCTCAGTCTAAATGGTCTCAGTGAAATTAATCTCATAATCACAAATCAGTAGGGTTAAAAAATGTTGCTAATTAACAATATATCTTATTGGTTTAATTAGATAAGGAACTTTTAGCACAATAATACCATCTTACATTTCATATTTTGCATACATACTAAACTTATTTACATCCAGGTTGTGTGCAAACATTCAGAGTGTATGTGTATAAATATAACATGTGTTATGTGTTAATTTGTTTTATAAAAAATATGCATGTGTGAGAGTGCATGTGTGGTGTGTGTGGGGGAATGTGTGTAGTGTGTGTGTGGTTAGTGTAGTGTGTGTGGTGTGTAAATTTGCAGCCAACCAAAAATCATTTGTAAAATTTAAAGATTCTCTACAATTGTACCCAAGCATGACATTTTGATCTGAGTAACAATCACACGTTCTGACGTGAAATTTTTTCCATCACAAAGCAATTATAAGCAGACACTTGAGACAAGATGAATGAGATGTGAATCGTCCCTGGCAGATGAATAGAAGATGTTACTGATCTGTTGCTGATCTGATTCCTTCATCTTTCTCGTTAAAAGTGATGTGAATAATCACATTCATAACAGCGAGAGATGCAACGAATATTCAGCCGGGCCGAGATTCGACCTAAGTTTGACATCTGGCTTGGTCGAATTGTGGTTCAACAATTTGACCATTCGGCCAAATTTTTTATTTGACTATTGACTATAAGTGGGGAAGTTTGAAAGGTTCATCCAGACTTTTTTCATTTCCCATCTAATTTATTTTACCAATTGAAAATGAAAAAATTTCATAAATAACCAATTGCATGAGTAAGATCATTTAGAAAGCCTGAAAGCAAGTTATTAAAAAAGGATCAAGGTGAATTAAAATCTTGCTAATCATTTTTGAAAAACCCAAAATTGAAGGTAAGATAAAAAAACACCGGAGTTGAAATACTAAAATTTTTTGTTAAAACTCAAAATATACGATCAGGCAACTAAGCAACCGAACGTGTCACGGTAACATTCAGCCAAGTGCAGGTTTTGGGGCTCAACTTACCAAAATATGTATTTGAACAATTTTTTTTATTGATTTGCTTTTTTAATGGATCTTCTCGCATAGCTACAAATGTAGAGTAGATAATGGTTTATTACATATTGACTAGAAAATCGCGGGTTCGGCCGAAAAAGTTTTCAAACGTCAAAGCCTTTCCATAAATCAATTTTTTGTAATTCACCGTTGGATGACATATTTTGTGACGAGAATAAGATTGAAATTTTATAAATAAAAAACAATTTATATTTTTATGATTTAAATTGAAAATTTCTCAAATTACCAAAATTTTGAATTCCAGAATCCCAGTACTTAAAACTTACAAGCAAACAAACAAAAAATGAACTTCACATATAAATAAACTTCTAATAAAGCTATAATGAATATCATTCTTCAGCATCATTCACACATTAAACCCATCATGCAAACAAAGAGACACTTGTACACACACACACACACACACACACACACACACACACACACACACACACACACACACACATATATATATATATATATATATATATATATATATATATATATATATATACAGTACAAACATACTTATGTCCAGTACACAAGCACTTAAGTGAGGTACTTGTGGTTCATGCGTCTACTACGTTTTACTTAATTTAAAACTAGATAAAGTAGTATTCACGTCAAAGTATACATTATGAAAAATTAGCATAGACGAAATGTATACCGGCTGACTGACACTCAACGTAAGAAACTACTAACAACTAAGACAAGAAAATCTCTGCCCTACATAAAACTCCCCTAACAAATGCCCCCAGTTAGACATCGTCGTTATATTCATTTATGATTTCAAGTTTGTCATTCTTAAATGTTAACAGTTCCGTCTTAACAGAATAAATTTTCATTCACCTGACAAATACTTTTCATTTTCGTGTCACATCTTTCTCTCAACCTATTTTGGATACATTCATAACATTATACATATGTATGTGCAATTTCTGTAACTGTCTTCTTACATTATAAGACATTACGTAAACACACACATTTATGTATATTTATTTATATGTATTATTGATATTGTTTGTATACTATATACGAACTCAAGTGACATTTGGCCATATTTCACGGGATCATTTGCAACAAATTCTCAATTTGTTCATTGTTACATCAATTATAATTATACAATTTGAATATTTTTTATAGAGAATAATAAATTTAAATTACTTCTATGTGTGGTTATTTACGTAGAAGATTGTTTATGTCATTTTGTCTTAAAACTCCGCATTGAAAAAAGTCTTTCCATAACTTGGGTTGTTTGATTGAAAATATCTTACACATGTGTCTCTGTAAACTTGTGTATGTATTTGTGTGTGTAAATATATATATATATATATATATATATATATATATATATATATATATATATATATATATATATATAATTCCATTTGTGGAATGTTTTTTAAAAACGTACCAGTTGATGTGACGGTGTTGAAGTAACTGTTGAGCCTTTTATTGTTGAAAGAATGTTTGGTGAATGTTGTGTGAATGTTTGGTGAATGTTGTGTGAATGTTTGGTGTGTGCATGAAATAAAGATACGTGTATTTGTTGTATTCTTCCTTTTGAGACAATCTCCTCCATACAATGCCACAGAATGTAATAAAAAATTTTTAACCAAAATTTGAAATTTGTTTTTATTATAGAAATTGTAGCATGAAATCATAAATAGTTTGGAATTTGTTTCACATTTTATTAAATCAAATTAAAGATACACTAAAAATAAATTGGAAAAAATTTACAAACAAAACAAGACAGGCGGGCATTCAGACCTACAGTACGACCTTTAACCTCTAGTACTTATCATTAATTAATTATTTAATTAAACTTATCATTATTTAATTATTTAATTACGATTATCAATTATGTCTTTATTAATTATCTAAGAAATTTATTTATTCATTCATTCATTTCTTTATTAATTCATTCATTATACCAGAAAGTTAATTTTTGTTGAAGTCAAAGAAACGCTAGTCCATGCCTCACAATTTTCCATTTAAGTTCTTATGTATTTTTAAATTAAACAATGCACAACAACTATCGGACAAGTATTCGCCAAACAAGTGCACATGTCTTGAAACTTCAACTGTAAATCCACTGCAGTATCACCAAAATACAAGTAAATGTGTATTGGCGAAAAAACTAGAAACAAATCAGTCAACAAACCATACCAACAAATAGCAAGGATGAGCGTGAATGAATCCAACAACTAAATAGCAAGAATCAATCGAAGAAATAAGTCAGTTAATCACAACAAATGACGTCATCCAACCACTAATTTAAAATTATTCAATAACCAAACAACAACAACCAAACCAAGAAACCAACCAGTCAATCAGCTAAACAATGAATTAGAAAATTAGTTAATCAATAAACTAAACAATAAACAAGGAGGCACTGCTTGATTCAGATATTCATCAATCGAACAAAGAAAAATTGCCATTTCCATGGCCAACATTAATTTGGGAGGGGTCTGGGTACTTGAACGTTTTAAGAAAATGGCGACAATACTTTGCTTAACTAAACACACTAGCCTAGAGCTCTAATTTGTTTTGCATTTGGATATTTAAATTTGATGATTTGTATAGCGCCACATATAAGAAACCTCGGAGGTGCTTATAAAGAATCTCAGAGGTGCTATACTAAATTAAAAGCAGTATTTGCCATTCAAATTTTCCTAATGTTGAAGAAGAGTCTAATTAAAATAATTAATTAATAATTAAAACTAATTGATAATTAAAATCAATATTCGTTTGAGAAACTATCCAGCAATCCTCTGCAGAAAGGAGGACCGCAGTCCAAAACAAGTCTCCCATGGTTACATCCTTGCAGGTTGTTATCGATTGAAATGTGTCCTGATGAGTTCTTCCACTTTGTTCCTCTGCTGAATGGCATTGCACTTTCCCTGGTACCTGCCCTGCTTGCCCGCCCCCCGACCTTCCAACAACTCTGCTATCCTGGAAATGAACAAAATTATCTTCATGTTGTTGTTGTTTTTTACAAGAGGTTGTCGAATTGCATTGTCGTTGTTTTTATTGTCGATGGCTTTGTTTTTGGAAAAAAATGTTGGAAGTTTTGTTTGAATAGTTGAGAACATTTGCAAAAGTAGAATACTAATTCAGAACAAAATGCCATTATACATTGATGAGGTAATGAGTTTAAATACTTAATACAAACTACATTCCTAAACTTAATTTAATCAGCTCCTATTGTAAGAATAAACCCCAGGACTACTGGGAAAACATTGAACAATAACAACAAATGATAAATGAATGAATAAATGAATGAATGAATGAATGAATGAATGAATGAATGAATGAATGAATGAATGAATGAATGAATGAATGAATGAATGAATGAATGAATGAATGAATGAACAAATGGCAGCACAAACTTGGGACCAAGAAGTTGAACATCACCAGGGTCACCAGACACAAGAAACAGACCGGCACCCCTCTCCTCCCCACAGCTCAGGAACAACAGCATGTTCTTCTGTGTGTGACGTCATATCCGGTTGGAATAATTTTTATAAACATTTACTAATCAATAAAATTTGCCAGTGCCAGTGGAAAATAAATAACTAAAAAATTATTAACACATTAAAAATTATTCCAATTGCTAGATTAAATTCAAAACGTACAGAGGTCTCAAAAGCCTTAAGTATGAAGTAATATGATGAAACAATTATATCAAGGCGTAAAAAAAAACAAAAGAAATTGAGAATGCAGAAACTAACATTTGAAACATTGTTAGCAATGATGTTCATGAATTCACTGTCACCTTCTTTCCTACATCATGTCAAAATTTATAAAAAAACAAACAATAACTCTACGGAATATATGTTTAATAATTCAACAACATTGGTCTCAAATTTTGAGTTCAGATTTATTCATTCACAACAAGAAGCTATACTTATGGAGAAACAATAAGTAGCGTGATACAAACTTGTACAAGCAGTGGTAGGCTGGTGGTTCAGACATGCCATTCAGTCTCTCACACTCGTGCATGGCCGACTCTCTTAAAAGTGTTAGTGCATTCTGGTGATGGTGCACGGTGATGTGGTGTGGTTGGTGCATTCTGGTGATGGTGAATGGAGATGTGGTGTGGTTGGTGCATTCTGGTGATGGTGCACGGTGATGTGGTGTGGTTGGTGCATTCTGGTGATGGTGAATGGAGATGTGGTGTGGTTGGTGCATTCTGGTGATGGTGAATGGAGATGTGGTGTGGTTGGTGCATTCTGGTGATGGTGCATGGAGATGTGGTGTGGTTGGTGCATTCTGGTGATGGTGCATGGAGATGTGGTGTGGTTGGTGCATTCTGGTGATGGTGCATGGAGATGTGGTGTGGTTGGTGCATTCTGGTGATGGTGCATGGAGATGTGGTGTGGTTGGTGCATTCTGGTGATGGTGAATGGAGATGTGGTGTGGTTGGTGCATTCTGGTGATGGTGAATGGAGATGTGGTGTGGTTGGTGCATTCTGGTGATGGTGAATGGAGATGTGGTGTGGTTGGTGCATTCTGGTGATGGTGCATGGTGACGTGGTGTGATTGGTGCATTCTGGTGGTAGTGATGTGTTAGCGGAGTTCATGAAAGTTGTTCACGAGTCAATTGTTAACAACAACAACACAACGGCAGAAACATAACAAGGAGATACACCGAAAGAAAATGACGCAAGCAGCAACAACAACAGATGTACCTTCTGTGCAACTTTCAAAGAGTTTTGTATCTTCTGCAGCAGGTCAACGTGATCATCAGGTCCTCCTCTGTAGAGTACCGAAGAAATGATGATGAACATTAAATGATAATAACAAAAAATGAACATCCTCTATGTACTACAAACGATCAGAAAATGCAATCAGAACCATCAGCAACAGCATCAACATCACCAGCATAAACATAAAAAAACAAACACTAACCAGAAAGTAAACCAAACTGACTACAAAACAATAACAGAATTGTACTAATATAAGCATAGATGGTGCAATCTGAAACCAAAAACACTTTTCACGAAAATGGCATCAACCTTTCAAAATCAGAAAACAAATCAACTCAACACAGACTATGAAGAAAAGACAAGAGGACAGCCAACTTGAGCATGGCGGTGAAGACCTTCTCGCGTTCAAAGCAGCCTGCCACGTACCTGAGGACGCGATCCCCAGCTATGAAAACCAGGTTGACCTTGCCCTTCTTGCCCTTCTCAACCCCCAACAACTTCACCATCTTCAATGAAACATGCTCATCAGTTGCATGGATCATTCAATAATGGTGTTATAGTTGACTGTTCAGATGATCGAAACACTAAGCCACAACAATTCTTATAGGAGGACAAATGAACAAAGAGCTGCTAACAAAGTAAACACGTACGAAAGCTACAAACAAATTAAATACACAACAACTGAAAAAAAATTTGAAACCATCAAAAAAAATTAAAAAATCATTACAAGAAAAACAGTTGGTCAGTAGGAGGACAGAGGACAAGATGCGAACCTGCAGGTGAGCCAGGCTGGACACATGAGTCCCACAGCAGAGGTTGACATCAACGTCTTCTATGGTCACAACGCGGATGGAACCCTCGTGGTCATCGGGCAGTCCTCTGCATCGTATCTGATGATCACCAACAACAACAACATGCAACAACATCAACAACATCAATGATGTCAACAGTGACGTCATCAACATCAGCGATCTTAGCAATCATGAAATTAACATTGATAACAACAAGAACAACAACAACAACATCATCAACAACAACAACAACATGTAACGTTATAGATTATAAAATGAAAAAAATAGATACATGATCTATTTCATGAAGTAAATTCTATCGAACGGCTCAACATACAGATTGAAAACTATTCAAAAACAAAATTTTTTAATTTATGAATTATGTTATTCGAATCTTGGAATTGTTTTTGCCAGCCTAATTAATTGGTCAATCATCAACCATCTCCAAACTAGTCATCAATCATCGACCAATCAGTGAATGGTGAAGCAAACAAAGAAAGCGCTAGCCAACCAGTTAACTACTTAACTGGCTAACAAAAACTAACCAAAACAAACTGACCAATCACAAACTGGCGCATCATAAATTACCTACCCAAAAAGGCTGTAAAACCACAATAAAAAAAAACAGCCAACCACACCACACCTCCACAAACCACACACCACACATCATCAAACACACACCAACACACCACACATTATCAAACACATACCACACACCACACATTATCAAACACACACCAACACACCACACATTATCAAACACATACCACACACCACACATTATCAAACACACACCAACACACCACACATTATCAAACACACACCAACACACCACACATACCAACACACCACACATCACCAAACACACACCACACACCACACATTATCAAACACACACCTCCTTGGCTTCGGGACTCTCCTTATCATCAATCCACCTCGGAAACATCTTGAGGTTAGATTGGATTTTTTCATTGGTTGACCTCTCAAGGGCCAGCATCTGTTCGGTGGTCATCTCTGCAGTGTCCAGTTCAACGAAGGACGTGCTCTCCCCGAGGTTCCTAGGTTGGAGTGGCCAGTGAACGATCAAACAACTAAATCAACTACGACTTCTGCAACTATAATTCCTTAGACATTTTATGTCGTTGCTTGTTTAACGCAGCATCATAATGCATACATGTCACTGAGTCATAAATAGTTTATAGTTTCGATGTCTTGATATAGTTTGTAGTCGCATTTCACTTGAAATTAAGTGCGTAAAAGTGAACTTTACGTAAAATAAAAGTACAGAAAAATAAAAGGCAGACAAAGAACTAAATTATCTACTTAATAAAGCATTGTTAGAGAAAATTTTAAAGTCTAAAATCCATTAAAAACAACCCAAAAAAAATATCAGTAATAAAAATAAACACCAAAAATATGAAAAATATTATGGAGCATAAGGAAAACTTGTAACAAATGAAAACATGACTGAAACATATACCATTTAAAACATGTAAAAATTCAGTAAAACTCCAGCATATAATCATTAATGTTAACAAATGCAGATGTTTGACAACGACAATTAATTTCCAAATAAAAGTACAATCTGGTAATTGAAAGATGTTTTGCACTCACCATGCAGTTGTGTTGAATTGGTACATAGAAATGGCCAGGGCTGATATGAGATGCTGAGCTGTGGGCATGTGCAAAAATAAAATCTTTAACATTTGATAAATTCCTGCTTGGTCTGCTGAGCAATGCAATAACGAATTCATTTATCAATTAATATTCCAAGTCTGTCTGATTTTGTTTGACCTATTCCATCTTAGTAATTGAAAACGTCCCACTAATTTGCAAACACCCAACCAACCAACCAACCAACCAACCAACCAACCAGCCTACCAACCAACCAACCAACCAACCAATCAACCAACCAACCAGCCTACCAACCAACCCACCAGAATGCTGCTGCATGTTGTCCCACCTCCTGGACCAGTCCACTTGCACGTGAACCTCCTCCCCACATTTCAACTCTGATGTCACAAAGTGGACTGCCTCCAGCCCTCTCCTAACAACACTCAGCACACCAATGCCATTAATCTGGTGTCACATCACAAACAAATACACACTTCACCTTCCCTCGTAAAGTTTTCAAATTATAATTCAAAAAAGTGTTTGCTCATTGACAAAGTCGAAGTCAATTGATTAGTGCATTACAAAACTATTGAATGCTACAGCAGTGCGATACAAATGTATTACAAATAACTTACAATCAGAAAGGTCACTTTATTTTAATGTGAAAATTTTACAAAAACACGCGTAATGGTTGAATATAAAACCACGCCAACAAATATGACAACAACAACACTCAATTACTATTATTAAATTTCTAGCTATTATGGTTACTATTATTAAATTCTATTTCTATTATTAAATTTCTCAATTTCTATTTATTAAAAACAATTCTAAAATAAATGGAAAATTTGCAAAACAAATTTATAAAACTCTGAAATGAATCGAGCAGTGTACTCACAGTTCCTCGGTCATCTGGCTATAAGAGAAAATTATTTAAATAATTTAATCAATAAAGGAAAACCACTAAAAACTTATAATCTTAGTTTATCATTTGTTATAATAAATATTATAAATAATTAATTATAATAAATAAATAATTATACGTGTCAACATTTTTGCTTACATTAAAGATTAAACAAACAAGAAAATTGAACAGAAACAAATAACAAAACCCAACAAAACAAATTTTTTCTGAATATCCAAATTGAAAAAATAGTTAAAGAAGTTGTTGTCAAAATACATGATGACAAAAATTATTACATTACTAAAGCATAGCAACATTACCATATAGCAAACAACACACATGTTAAGATTGGCTGTTTTGTTTGTGGTTAACACAAATTAAGCTTAAATTTTATACCTCATGTAAAGCCAAACTTTTTTTTTTTTTTAATTCCATTTAGTCACAAAAAAAGTGAGAGTCAGCCTAACAATAAATGCTTATCTAGGGTTGACTCGCATAAAACAAGAAATAATATAGTAAATAACCCAAAAAAATAACACAACAACATAAATGAGTAAAATAAATGTTTTTTAAATTCTTCAATGTTCTTAAATTTTCATAAATAAACTTAGAAATAAAATATTGATACATTTAAACTTAAAAATGAATAAAATTAAACTTAGTATAATAAAAATGTATGGTATGATCTTATGATACAGTGAGTAGAACTAATCAATATATATTGGTGAATATGATCACCCCATCATCATCAACATCAACCAAAAACAATTAGTATTACAAAACAAAAGGTAGTGTTAATAAACAGTTAATAAAAAGTTAATAATATGAAAATGTAGTGAACATCCTACTTAAAGAATTAATCAATTAACATAATGATTAATTAATTAATTAATTAATCAGTACAAAATAAAAGTGAAAATTATGTGTTAATAATCAGAAATAGTATTGGACATCCAATGTGGTGAATTAATCAATTAGCATAATTATTATTAATTAATTAATTAACCAGTACAAAATAAAAGTGTAAATTAGGTGTTAATAATCAGAAAATGAAATGGACACCATACCTGGCCACCGCCTTCTGGAAAGAGAACAGTATCCGAAAGCACAACTTCATAACCCTTCACTTCTGCCTTTTTGCCATTGACAACCTGCTTCAGAGATGCCTCCCTGCATGACTTCACCACACATTTCAACTGTTCGCAACATCAATTAATAATATAATACATTTTATTGAATATTATTTTTTTATTATATTTTATTAAAAATTATGATTTATGAAAAATAATATTATACGTTATTATCAATAATTAATGATATATATGTGAAATCTTCAAGATAGAATAGACATAGAATAGATAAAAATAAAAGGAATAGCAATAGACAAAGAAAGAGAACCAGCTAAGAAAAGTGTCATTTATTTTCCACCTGATCTCTGTAGTGGTAATCATAATTTATTCATTTCATACACAGCACATACATAACTACTACTCATTCTGGTATTCAAACTCACCCATTTCATTACAATTATGAATATATATGTATGAATATGAATTAAATGAAATGACTACAGCTGTATGTACTGGTACTCTGTGCACTGTACTTACTTACTCAGTACTATTCAGTACTTAGTTGTACATTATGAACATTACTCATTACATTGCATTACACTGTAATGGTGTAATCATTACAAAAAGTATTGACGTAGAGTAGACTCTACTTAGAAGTGTAGTAGTTACAGTTACAGTTACACTCCTTGGCGAAAGTTAGTTGACAGTCGCGAATAGACAAATGTGACATGCTGTAAATAAAGCACACTAGAACGTAAAAAAAAAGTTCTTAAAACATAAACATCCGTGCAAACATAAGAACATCAATCTACCTCTCTCAAATAACTATCTTTTTGGCAGGCTAAAGACATGTTTTTGACGAATGTCCACTTTTAAATTGATAAGATTTGGTGGGCTGGCTGACAGATGATATTATCGCATATGGTGAATTGAAATATAGCATAAATCACATATTATTATTAGATGGTTTATATAGCGCCTATTAAAAGGTTCTCACAGGCGCTCTCCACTTATTTTGCGGCCTATTGCTGAAAAATGAATGTTTTCAATTGCCTTTTGAAATGAGAAAACAAATTGCGATCACGCAAAGTTAGCGGAAGATCATTCCACACCTTTACATATATAGATACAAGATACATATATAGAAAATAAAAGTAAAGATATAAAAATAAATTAATAATCGAAGCTTAATTTTTATGAAATATGAAGTTAAAACAATTAACTGTTTTTTGTGACAAGCTATTTGAAAAGAATTTTAGTGTTCCAGCATTGATAAAAATCAGAGGCCTAACGATTGAACTACTCTAAAGTCTATTACACCGGGAGTTTGACATTTTATATTGGACTCGAAATCTAGATATAATGTGCGTATGTTGAGGGATTGTCTGTAATGAATGTCACGCTTTTGAAGGGGAGGGTTACAAAAAGTTACAAAAGGGGTGGGGTAACAGTTTGTGTGACATCCAGTTTCTTTTGTGAATTAATAAACATTTTATCAAAATTTTATTAGAAAATATTTCAGTATGCGTCGTCAGAGGAGTTTGCTTCTTTTATGAACTTTTTTTTAAGTGCGACTGGATCTCTTCAGGTATGCGCAATTTATGAAAGAAACAAAGAGAAATTTATTCAGCTCGTATCGATCCAGTTATTCAAAAATGTTTTTTACTATTCATAGCAGAAGAAATAGCTTTGAACAACTGGATCGATACGTCCTGAATAAATTTATCTTCGAAGTAAAATAAAAAGAGTTTTGAATGAATGAATCGATACATCC